CCGCAGCGAGGGTCCCCCCGTGGAAACGGGTAGGACCCTGTGCCTCGTTCTCGGCAGGACGGTGGAGTAGGGGGAGAGGGGCGCTGAGAACGGGGGCCGCATTGTCCTCAGCTGCAGCTACCCCCTCAACCCCCCAAACCTCCAACATGCCTTTCGATCCTATGCGTCCCCCTCCCCAGGCCGCGAAAGGGTCTCCGGAAGTCGGGGATGGTGCGGAGTCTCAGAGGGGTGGCATCAAGAAACGTGCGAGTCGGCGGGGGCGGGGGGCACCGGGGAGGGATTGGCACTGGGGCTCTGCCCTCTTGGAAGCCGTAGGCCGGGTATGTTGGGGGTGGGGGGGGTGGTGGGGTTGTGGGCAGAAAGGTTTGCGATCAGAGGGAACGTTCCCATCGTTGGGTGGTGTGGGAGTGGGGAGAGAGCAGAACCTGAGGCCAAAGATATCAGGAAATTCCCGGAGGAATTCCATCAGGGATTCCGGGAGAAGCCCTATTCTCAGAACTGGGGGGGCGGTGGAGTGTGGAACTCGCTGTGACGTTGGGGTGGGAGAGATAAATAAACGAAGGAGAGGAGAGGGGGTGGGTAATAGAGGGTTGCGGTGGTGGGTTTTAGAGGCAGCGAGACCGGAATAGGGCTAGAAGGGGGCAGCGGAGGGCCGAATGGCCTGGTTTTGCTGCTCCGGGCCCTCAGGAGCCCCTTCGTTATTCCCGTCCACGGCTGAGGTGCGGAGAACAGCTCCGGGAACGAGGAGAGAATGCGTTCTTGCCCTTCCTGCGCTGATGTGTGATTACGCCTTGGGCGACGCCCTCCTCCGCAGCGCCAGCCGGGGTGGGGGAACGGGATGTGCATTCGCATAGCGGGCTGACCTTTCCCTTGTCATAATAGCGGATGATCTCCTGGTAGAGCCGCTCCTTCAGCTCCCTGTTGGTCAACGCTTGGCGATGGTCCCGGTGGACGAGATGGGCAGCGCACGACTGGTCTGACCACTGTGGGAGAGGGACACAGACAGGTTGAGGAACCGCGCCTGCTAAACGTTCCTCGCGGCCGCCCGAGACGCGGTGCCCATTTCGGATGAAGTGCTGGGCACTCCTGGGCACGCTGCAAAGGACGTTAGCCACCAGTTGGCCAAAATAAAAAAAAAACGCCCTGCGCATATTTGCGTCCAGGCTTTTGCGTGAGCTAAACACAAGTGCAGCGGTTCTCCCACCGCACCCTCTGTGCCGATGCCACGCCAATCAGAATCCAACATGCCAACTGGCCCGAACGCCCCCCCCAAAAATGTGGAATTGTTGCGTTCGTGCTCATCGAGGGGCACTGGGTTTTCCTTTGCCACAACCCTCAGGGGTGCCGAGTGAGGGAGAAACGGTGCCCGTCGAAACGGGGTAAGGCTTAATCCCGAAACCGGGGAACCCCCCCCCCCCCCCCCCCCCCC